TTTTAGGAATCGGATTTCAACTGACCTTTTCTGAATGAATGACAACAAAACTAAAGAATACTTTCTTTTGTATAGTGGGCAAAAAACTTTTAGAAAATAATAAATTAATTTGGTTCTTGTGGCAATTGTTTGCACTGAAAAATATTAAAAATATGATTGTGCTTAAAAATACTTATAAAGTATTGCTTTTTGAATATAGTATCAGACTATTATATTGTTTTAATCAAAAATAATCAACTATTATAACTTGTCTTTTTTTGAAAAATTATTGAATTTGAAATTAGTATTGAAAAATTACTGTTAAAATTTTACAATATTGAAAATGATTCTGATTTAACACATCAGATTGCAAGCAATAGAATTCATTCTAATATTGTGATATAATATTTAATGAGTTTTAGATCTTTCTTGCACTTATGTTTGATTTTTATGAAAAGTATTCAAAATTCGATATTGAGTACTATCGATACTTTTGCCACGATATTTTTTTGGCATCGATATTTTGATTACTTACTTTTCAAAGTACTCAATATCGATCTTTTGCCTCGATACTTCTAACACTAGGTACAACTATATTTTAGAACAAATTTAAGTATGTGAAATGGCAGTTTTTAAGATGTAGATAAATTTACACTGCCACATCACAGTTTTTGAAACTAACACTGAATTTACATCTGGCTTCAACGATGTATGTAAATTCAATATCATTTTTTAAAATTGGTAATTTGATAGTAGCAAAGAAACAGACAGAAGCTCTAAACGTACAAAGCGCAACCAAGCTGAAAAGACAATTCATCTAATAGCAATATAATTATCTATTTCATATGGAAATATTGAATGCAGAGTCTTCAACTTCAACTATTCCAACTGCCCACCCATATTTTATCCGACTGACAAAAATGTTCAACTGGCTGCATCACACATACAAAAGACATGACTAAGTGCTTAAGATACAAAAATTCTTAGCAATTTGATGGCAATTTCTTTTATTATAAGGTTACAAAATTTTCACCAGCTCTCCATCTATTGTATCTTCTTTCTTCATATAGTATGTTTGTATTTCTGCTTCTTAGTTTCTTCATTTCAATGTTTCAATGTTTCTATGTTTCTGCTCTAACGACGCTTTTCCTGCGTTTGTTGTTCTTGTCTTAACTTTAGCAAAAGCAGTTTCTCTCATTGTCTTCGGGAAAAAACTGATTCTGAGTCTTACACGGTTAGGAGGCACCCAGGGGCGTACTCGGGGGGAACGGGGGCACAGAGGAAAATGCATATATATATTTCGAATACTCTCAAAAAAAACAAAATCAAGTGTTTTGTAACAGTGATATCGATATATATATTTTAGATCAATATTGCACCATCAACCTGATGATGGAACGTATCTAGTTCCGAAACGTCGTAATTAAACATCTATAAAAAACGAATTGCTTAGTATTTATTGGATTTATTGTTCGGAAAAGAAACATATATCAACTTATATATTATACTTATATATATATATTTAATAGACAAGTCCAGGATTTTTTCAATATATATATATATATATATATATATATATATAATACAATAATTCTAAAAACCCTAACCAAAACCAACCATAATAACAGACCATATCAAAAATTTCAAACACCCATTCAACTTTTATAATACTCTTATTCTCTACCACGAACAAAACACAATTCAGAGACGCTTTGCAGAATCTTGCTTCATTACTTTAGATAGAAATAGTATAAACAAGAGAAATGATATTTCCTTACTCTGCAAAAATTACCAAGTTATACTTAATAATATTTTTCTTTATATACAAATTGAGAGTGGAAAATTTTCCAGCTTAGTCATAGATTTGTATGACAATCTCTCTATTTTTTGCAAAAATTTCCCCTTTATGCAACCCATTTATCAATTATGCACTGTTTGTGCGCATCGCAAAATATTTGTACAATGAGAAAATGAAAAGAGTGGACAACTTTTGATAAAAAGAAATTGTTTTATTTTTAAGTAAAATTTATGCTTTATCATTAGGTCAGAAAAATATAAATTAGTAAAAAAAACTCACTTACTGAATGAAAGCGAAAGTGACCAAAAATTATTCGGTTTTCAAAATTCCTATCATGAAATAAAAATTTGTGAAAGATTTATTTCATGAATTTAAAAGGAAAATGATTTCAAAATTTAAAAAAAAATAAGTTTTACATTGAAAAGAACTGTTTGTATTCAATTCCGCATTAAAAAAAATCAAGAAAATTGACCCCAAAAATAAAAAAAATAAAAAATAACACTTAATAAAAATAAATTGTTCTGAAGTATGATTTAAGCATTTTCATAAATTTAAAAACAAACTTAACTAAAATTATGTCAAAAATATCCACTGACTAACAGTAAAAACGGGATGAAAAATGATTCGATTAATAAAATTTCAAGACACTTTTTGCAGAAAGCTGTCTTATCTTTATGAATTCTTATTTAACCTTTTGCCTGATTCATATTTAAATTTTATACATTTTTTAACAAATACTTTAAGCATCTTTTGATCGTTTTTTTATGTTTATTGCCATTATTAATTTATACTTATGTTTTATATATATTCTGGATAGCTATCATTAATGATTTCACTTTTCTGAACTAATGCTATATTTTTTTAAAAAAACGTTATCTACTATATTTTCTACGCGCACTGAAGATGATCTAAATGGGGGCTCGAAATGTATGCAAAACTTACTAAAACAAATTAAAACTTTTAATAATTGAATGGATACTTGTAAAAAAAACTTTTTGTAATCTTCACGATTTGAAAAACTTACATATGCATATTCAAATACACAAACATACATATATATATATATATATATATATATATATCCATTTATATATCTATTTATATGCTAGTAATGTTTATATTATGCAGATAGCAGATTTATAAGTGATAAAACAGTAATATGTTCTAGTAGAGAGAAAGAAACAGCAGGTAGGTACATTCATACAATATATAATTTGCCTGCCGTGTGAAGACTATTAACCTGAAAATAATTATCATTGTTGATGGTTTATCTCAAAAAGTAGCTACGGAGGTAATAACACTTTATTATTCTTGGGACAGGGACGAATCATGCAAAAAAATCTGCTGGGCACTTCATTAATAAAAGATAAAATGGACCAACAAGGTTTCAAAATTTTGGAACAAATAAGTGATAAAAACTTGCCTTAAGCCACCTACACTAAATTATATACATAATTTAAATTAATCTTTATATTATCATTTACATTACTACTACACATCTGTTTCTGACCATTCAACCCAATTAGCTTCACTCGAAGGAAAATTCTTATCACAATTCCATTTATAAATTTCTCCTTCGCATAAATACAGATTTTATATCATTTATCAGTACTTTTTTTCTGTTTTATAATATCGAAATGATTATTTATTATAAATCAACTGTATGTTCCAGTTTTCCATGACCCAATTCCATGCAATTAGAATCTGTATTTTAATAAAACTAACAGTACTTGTACTTGGATCGAATAGTTGACATAGTTTAGATTGATTTTCATCGAGGAAAAATTATGGAACATCAGAAGAGTACCTTGATGATAAATATCAAACACTCTTCGTGTAATTGTATTAAAAATAATGAGGAATCATAGACTATTGTTCAAGCAAAACTTATATATAAATTGTTTATATTGAGATGTTTTTTATTTGGATCTTAGGGCCTTAGCAGTACCTCAATAAACCCCAGAAGATTCTTAGCATAATAATAATTAGTTCTCAAACTTTTTCTCAAATAAGATTGCACTTTTATCTTACAGTAAGATTTTGTATAAAAGGAGCGCCTCGATAAGCATAAGTACACTTAATGCTTTTTCTTGTAATTCAATTACTAAATAAAATATTTGCCTTTGAACAAAACCCATAAACATATTCTCAAATAAAATTTCTTTGTTTTCTTGTTATTCGCTTACAGAAATTTTAGTTTACTCGTAAGACACATATTATTAATAGAAATTTTCTTTTGTTCTAAAATATATGCTAAAATTATTAATATATTAAAATATATAATTTCAAATCAAAGATTTTTTTAATAATATATAAAGCGGCATCAAAAACATGTATCTTTTAATAAGCAAGTAGTAAAATAAAAATAAAAGCTTATGAAAATAATACTATTAATCCAGTAAAATTGTTTGGATTCTTTTGAAAGACTTTTATTATTAGAAGTTATATTTAATATATTTGTCTGGTTGTGGCAGATAAATTTATTTAGCAGTTGATTTGGGCAAATTGTGGCATCGAAGAAAATAAAATTTGTCTGACTAAAAGGAAATACTAGAGTAAAATAATAAATTTTTACTATATACAGTGAAATTGTATTAATTTTGTTATTACAAAACTTTTATTATAATAAAATAAATTTATTTTCTATCTAAAAATGGCAGTTTGTGGCATCGAACAAAATTACTTTAAGGGAGTAGTAAAATAAACCAAAAAAAATTCATACGAGAACTGAACTATTACTGTGTAATTAACAATTATGAATTTTATGGATTAATTACTTAAATTTAAATTTATTATATTTGTTCAGATTGTGCTATTACAAAAATATCATCATCTTGTTTCAAGCAAGTAGTACTAAATAAAAGAAAAAGTTTATTCCAAGAACTTGCTTGAAACACTTATGAATTTTTACATATAACTATGTCAAATTGCGCAATAACTTATAGATATTAATAATGCTTAAACTTGCACATTCAAGAGCCCCATTTAAGGCTCAAGAATACTAAAATAAACTTTTTATGCCAAAAGCATGTACAAAGAATGTTTATGAAAGACATGAAGTCCATTGTGTATTGTTTATGAAGGAATGAACGTTTGTAGGTTATGTATACACAAAATATACATCCAGGTGCATTTTGGTTGCAAAAATACACTCACTACCTACATTTATCTTAAATTTACACGTTAATAACCACATTATCCTACAATCTTATATTTTCTGTACCTTTTATGTATCCGTTCCTCTCTCCTCAAATCCCTGATGTGTCATTATCCACTAAATTTTCCCAAACACAAACACTTATCAAATCAAACGTAACAAACACAACAGAACACAAATTCACATAAAATTCCTTTTTAAATGCGACACAAATGAATAAATTGTTAAAATATGTGACACGATACTACGACGGTACGCCTCGTTTACAAACTTAAAGACTTTGACAGGTTTGATAACTGACATGAACATCGTGCATTAGTCATGCGAGAGGTGGGAGAAAGTGGAACTAGAACTGGCGGGAAAGTTTGAATTGAGGAGAGTGAACGGTTTGAACTAGATTTGAGATAAAAAATGATAAAATTAATTAATTTAGGTGATGAAATGAGGTTAAAAAGGTGTAAGTGGTATTTTGCCCCAAGGCAAGTTGCATAATATATGTACCTTACAATCATAATTTAATCCAGACATTAATTTATCCGTGCATTATAAGTTATTTTTATAAATGTATATTTTAGTTTATTCAATTTTAGTTAAATGCTCACCAATTAATATTTTTAATGTATATATATATATATATATATATATATATAAATATGTATATATATATATACACATACATATTTCAATCATCTTTTTTTTTCAAGAGAATTGTCTCATGATTTGTGCATAATATGATCTTTCTAAAATAACATTCAATATTCTGTTTTTAATGTTAACAAGATACTTTTAGTACCATAAAAATATAATGTATAAAATATAATAGAATATAGATACTTTACAAAATAGACTTTACAAAAAACAAAGTCTAAAAGATTTTGGTCACATTATTATTTGAAATTCAATTAAATTTGAACAATTTACGAAATCCAAATTTCAAATTGAGAAAAATGTGTTTAAAAAAAGACCATGAATAGTTTATGATCCAAAATTCAAATTTCGAATTGAGAGAAATGTGTTGAAAGAAAGACTATGAATAGTTCATGGTCCAAAATTCAAATTTCAAATTGATAAAAATGTGTTTAAAAATACCATCAATAGTTCATGACCCAAAATTCAAATTTCAAATTAAGAAAAATGTGTTCAAAAAAAGACCATTTATAGTTTATTGTCTAAAATTCAAATTTCAATTTAAGAGAAATGTGTTTGAAAAACGCCCACAAATAATTTATGGTCCAAAATTCAAATTTCAAATTGAAAAAAAGTGTTTAAAAAAAGACAATAAATAGTTCACGGTGCAAAATTCAATTTCCAAATTGAGAAAAATGTGTTTAAAGAAAGCCCACAAACAGTTTATGGTCCAAAATTCAAATTTCAAATTGAGAAAAATGTGTTTAAAGAAAGACCATGAATAATTCATGGTCCAAAATTCAAATTTCAATTTAAGAAAAATGTATTTGTTAAAAAAAATCTAAGAAATTAAAAGCAGGTATGGTACTCTCTCTATATAATTTGTTACATTTTTTTTCAAATAAACTGTTTAGGTATCCCAAATAGTTTGAAAGTTATAAATAATGCAACAAAAAATAGTAAAATTTTGTCACTCTACAATACACTTTTAAAATACTCCCAAATTATTGTAAAGTGTTTTAATTTTACAGAATTTGTAATTAGAACGTTTTTTCCAAACCTTCTCGAAAGACATATAAATTTAATGCAAAATGTTATAACAAACTTTACTCCTTACAATTATTATATTATTGTTTTTGCTTTTATATATATATATATATATATATATATTTATTCAATTAATAAATATATTTTTATATCCAATCGCAAACAAGCTAATTAAATTATTAATTTAATTTTTTATCTTTGTCCATTATTAGAAAATCTAAATCAAAATTGCATACATAATTTTGAAATTCATATTTTAATTTGAGAAAATGTTAATATCTATAAGTGAAAGTTCAATTTACAATTACCATTGATTTTTTATTACCTCTAAAACTATTTTATAATTTTTTATAAAAACATCTTATAATTTATATTACAAATATTATTACATAATACTCCTTAAAATATACAATTAAGTACTTAACAAATAATTACTTATATTTATACCTTAACTTTTAATTTTAATTTGAAATTTTTGTTCACGATTTTGTTTTTCATATATCTGTAGTAATACTGAAACTTATAGATATAAAAAATATTTTATGCCTAAATATAAATAGCAATAAAAGTTAATGGAATTAAATAACAGCAATAATTTAAATATTAAAATTTAGCACGCGTAAAGCGTTTGTCAAAGAAAGAAGATTTTGTTCTCACTTTTCGATTAACAATTACAAATGTCATGTTTGCAGAAATTATAGTTAATAGGTAACAACATTTTTGTATTTAAAATCGCTACATTGATGAAACACTTTTATAGATTATAGTAATAAAAAAATGTGGTTACCTCTTAACAATAGTTTTCAAAAACTAGTTTCAGAATGTTTTCAACAATATAATATTTATACACTTATCACATTCTAGATTTAAACACTCCTAAAGCCTTTCTGAAACTAGTTTTGGCAACAATCAGTTCTTCGAACAATCTAATTTTACAAACTCTGATCATCATTACCTTTAACTCCAAATGTCATGTATATATATAACTTCCAACAGATAAATCCTTCATTACCACACCTTACATTTGTGTGCAGGATTCATTACGGTGCCAAGGGGGCACCTGAAGTCTCTTGCAAAGTCTTCCATGTTGCTCATAGGTCCTAAGACTCTAAATTCGCCTGGAGAGTGAGCTCCTGTTGTTATGCGCATTTTCATTGTTTCTAGAAAAAGAAATAAGGGATCAATGAAAATTATAGAAATAAAATAATGTTATTATGTAACCTAAAAAACATTTTTCTTAGAATTAAAAAAAATTGTACAAAAGTGTTAAATATTGGCAAAATATATGTGAAATATTGAATAATGCTTTAATTAGTAATATGTATAATTGGTATTATATATATTTATAACACAATTTTCAAAATAATGGATCTAAAAGTACCATGACGTCTTTGTATAATAATGATAATTTGAAACTTTATTCACATTTATACATAATAATGTTTAAGATAACAATTATAAGTTCATATTATATGTATGTATTTTAATAAAATGCTTTTTTAAGCGAGTGATTTTAAAAATTGTGAAATTTAACAAATGACTCCATTTTTTAAATTATGAAATTGTCAAGAGGCAACTTCACACCGTAACTATAATCAGTTAAAAAATGTGTTTTTAAATCTAAATTTTAAATAAGTATAAATATAAATTAAAGTAAATATTAAAACAATTAACATATATCAAATCATACAAATGTTTATCAACATTTCTATTATTATAAATAATTATTTTCGTCAGAAGTATAAAAAAATTTAAACGATATTAAAATGGCCGTAACAAAAATGGCGACATTAACGTGTAAAAACTGTCCAAAATAAAAATTCAAATTTGAAGAAAAATTAAACATTATATATATATTAATATATATACACATATATATATATATATATATATATATATATACATATAAGTTTATAGTAACCCTATTTAAATTATGTCGAAAATTCCTATCCCATAATAGTTTTAAACTTAATTGTGTTAGTAAAATTCAATTGCAGTTTCAAATTTATAAAATGACCCCTTTGTGTCAAAACTGTCAACGATAAAAATTCAAATTTAAAATATCAAATAAAAAACAAACAGCATATATAAATATGGATATATAATATAATATCATTTGATATTATTTAAACTGTATATTGTTAATATCTAAAAAAGTTCTAAAAACAATTATGTTAGTGAAAATTAATTGAATTTTTCAAAATATAAAATGGCTACCATGTAGGATTTTAAAACTGTCAACAAAAATATTGAAAAATTCAAAAAATCTACATCGGTAAGAAAATTAAACATCAAACAAAGCATCAAATAAGTCTATTCTCACATTATGTAATTTTTCACAATTTTATTTTTTGTTAATACCTGGTCTGTATTTACTGCACCATGTATTAGCAGCCGAAAGCCAGAACATCTGTCTCGGTGTGTATTCAGTCAAACCTGGCAAACGGGGCTCTGCAGTATGAGACTTTGCCATTTTTCATAAGCCAAATAGGCCTCCTTGATGCCACCATTGTCTGCTATATTCTCGCCTTGGGTATTTATACCATTCAACTAGAAAAGATAGACAAAATTAATAAAAATGGTATAAAAGACATTTCAAACAGGTTTGGATAATTGAAAATTGATTCAGTAACTTTGGCAAAAACGTTAACAAAAATATTGAATAAGTATTACAAAACTTACTACTAAAGTTATAGTGCTTCTGCAAATTCCTTTTAAATTTATGAAATCTATTCAGACGTTTATGAGAAAATGATGAGAAAAGTTAAAATTTTATCCTACATGCACATATCTACTATTCGAATTTTGATATCAAACTATTCAGAATTACTTGAATTGTCAACCCAAATAAAATTTTCTGGTAAAAACAATTTTTTCCTTTATTAGTATATGTATTTTGTATCATTTACCTTCAGTCCAACTTCCCTCTCAGTATAATTTCCATACTGCTCAATTATGCACCTGGCCTTCTCCAAATACTGTTGTTTTGTCGGTGCAGCCCACCAGTCCACCAGATTGCCCCTCAAATCGAATTGACGTCCCTGGTCATCAAATCCATGGGTGATCTCGTGTCCAATTACAAAACCAATTGCACCATAATTCATGTAACGTGGCCTGTCTGCGTCGAAGAACGCTTCTTGGAGAATACCAGCAGGGAATTCTAAAATATTTATTTATTTATTTATTTATTTCAACGCCCGAAGCAATAATACAATATAGTTACATTTTGAAGTGTACAAATTATAAACTAAAGAGATAATATGTGAGAAAATGAGAGTATAAAGAGATTATAGGTAGCTTTGTATATATACATAACACTTATTATATATAAACTGCAAATATATATCATTAAATAAAAACTAATAAAATTAAACATTTAATAAACTATAAATCACTACTTGTACATATTCTACATATGATTGAAATTTTTATATTTGAACAAGTAAATGATATGTTCTGTCTAGTTTTACTTACGTATGCTGTTTTCGATGGCTGAATAGAAAGCGTTTACAATTGCTGGTCTTGCATGGGTTTCCCAAGCAGTTTTGTTCACCGGTTTTCTTAGTTTGTTAAAAGCAAAGTCTGTCATGAAAACGTTCATGCCCAAAACTGACTCCATGTATTGATCCGGGTTGACTTTCAACTGCAAAATAAAATAATTATTAGTAGTAATAGAATTATATATTTATTTATTTATATTTATTTATATTTATATTTATATTACTAGATGACCCGACAGACGTTGTCCTGTATCCGTGTCCACAATTTTTTAATATAATATATTAAGATTTACTGTTTACCTAAAAATAATAATTATTGTTTTTTAAATTACTCTTCACGCCGAAATGCATATACATTTATAATATGAGCGATGTTAAATGTAGAACTGCTTTAAATAAAATGATGAGTCTCAATTCCAACACTATATTGGAAATTGAAGTCTTTTAAACGGTATAACATAACCATAACCATAACATAACACTGGTACTTCATGTTGGATTAAATTAATTTAATTTTTGATTATTTAAGATATCCAAAATTGCATCTTAAACTTCTTCTAATCGATATCGTCAGTGCCGAATTGTATGTATTCATCTTTACTTTTCCATTTGTTGTTATAAAGTGAAATATTTATGAATTTTAAAAATATTGTGGAAAGATTAGTAAAAGATGCAAAGAAATTATATATTGAAAATTTAATATCCGAATCTTGTCTTGGCGCCCCCTAAGGCGTGCGCTCGTATTTTTCGCATGCATCGTATTAAAGGTAGGACCGGCCCTGATTAATACTTAATTTCATATTTTAAGTGAATTAATTTGTCATATCCTGTTCGTATATGTATCATTCAATCTCCCATATATATACTGTATCTTATATTATTTTAATTTCTGCACATCTCAGCTGCTTTTTAGAAATAATAATATAGACAATTCATTTTTTTTATTCATAATCATAAATTTATAATACATATTCTAATATTGTCTAGGTTCATAAGTAAATTGAAATTTTTGGCAGACGATAGTCTTCATTTATTTTCAATGCAAACAATGACATGTCGTTTTTGCATTTTTTTCCATTTCTTTTTACAATGTTGCACATACATCCCAGCACTTTATAATCACATACATCCCAAAAAATTTCCTTAACAAACTTCAGAAAGATTTATCAAAATCCGAATAATCGTTTAGAAGGAGTATACAGCGAGTGCTTGTAATTTAATATGAACTTTAATAGTAATAAAGCTCAAATTGATTCTACGTTTTAGTTAGAAAACGTTTGCATGTAAAAAAGAAAAGGGCTGTTTTTAGGGTTTTCCCGGCAATTATTCAATTTTTTCTCGCCGTAAGAACCATCCTTGGACCTGAACGAGTATTTTAAAAAAAGAATTGGCCAAATTGGTCCAGGCGTTGTTGAGTTATGCGCTTACCAACACATTTTGCTATCCATTTTTATATATAAGAAGATGATTCCAATCTTCAGATTTTTATTTCTACTTACCCCTTTATAATATTCGACAAGTTTATTGTTATCCAGGATTTCATCAGGATAAGCAATGTGTGCAGTCATGGAATTGGCCTTTTCGAGAGCACTGGCTCTGGTGTCTTCGTCCATCCAGTCAACAGTTTTCAAAATATTTGCAAATTGCTCTCGAATTCCTGACACCATTTCCAAAGCATTGCGTTTGGCTTCTTCATTGAAATGACGACGTACGTATAGGGATCCTATGGCAATTGGGAGACTAAAAAAAAAAAAAACTAGTTGGTATTGGTATTTAGCCTTGAGGCAAGTTACATGAGCTTCCCGATATGTGTAAATAATCGACTTAATCAATAATAAAAAAATTATTAATGAGTGATTAAAAGTATTCCGAGTGGATTTATAACACATAATTGAAAACGAACGAACACGTCAAGAGAATTTTCTGAAAGCAAATTTTCACAAATCAATAATTTTTATAATTGAACCAGTTTTCGTAGAACGTTAATGGTTTAGTATGTTCATTAAGACCAAGTAATCTATCGTTATACCAAGTAAATCGTCTAATTTTAATTTTAACAAACCTCAAAAAAACTACTCATTTTCTCAAACTTTGATGAATTTTTAAAATTATACTACTTGCCGTAAGGCGGTATTATTTCAGTGAGTTCTATAAGACCATGATATATATCGCCAAAAAAAGTTCCATAAAAATCGGCTTAAATTTTTTTTTCGACAGTTAATTACGAGAAAACGGCTCGGTAGATTTTCACCTAAAACTGATCAGTACCATTCCCAACTAATATCTTTCGAACAGTTTTTGGTTTTTTGAAATCGATTCGGTAGAATGAGCTTAAATGTGGACGAAAAGTTTAACACTTTTTTTCAAATGACAAAGAAACGGCTCGGCAGATCGTCTCATAAAACTGACAAACTATAGTGCTCGTTGAGATACATCGAATGGCTTTTAAATTTCTGAAATCGGTTCAGGCGTTTTTGAGTAAACGTCGATGAAAGGTCTAATTTTGACAAATGCCAACAAAACGATATCAATTTTTGCAAACTTTGACGAATTTATAAAGCTAAACGAGTTGTCGTAGGTCCGTAATAATTTAGTACGATCAAGAAGCCTCTGGTATCTACCGCTAAAAAAATAATCATAAAAATCGTCGAAATTTTTTTTTTAAACTTTATTACAAGAAAACGGCCCGGCCGATCTCTACCAAAAACTAATCAGCACGATTCCAAACCAATATCTATCGAACGGTTTTTGAATTTTTAAAATCGATTCAGAATTGCGGGTTAAAACGTGAACGAAAAATTTTTCACTTTTCTGCGATTTACAAAGAAACAAAACTCAGAAACGCTAGTCCTCATCGCGATACATCGAATGGCTTTTAAATTTGAAATCGGTCCAGCCGTTTTCGAGAAAACGTCGATTTTCGGCAAAAAATCTGTTCTCATACACGCACACACATACACACACACATAATTTTTCCAAATGTTGGTCTCATTCGATTCAGAATGTCTTGAAACGTCGAGAAAACATAAAATTAGCGAATCGGATTTTTTGATGAAAACATAAACTTCTCCTTCGGGAAGTTAATTAGGATTAATACATGTGTAAAAGGAGTGTTTTGTGAATATCATTTCTATTTACCTTCCGCTAGTCAGATCGACACACTCCTTCCATCTGGATTCCTGTTCGGTTCTACCACTAAGGGCTGTTGCATATTGTAATTGTCTCTTACGAAGGTCGTCGGTCAAAAAGAATATGCTAAAGGCAGTCACTCTCCAAAGTGCATAATTGGCCTGGACCCTAAAAATCATTTTTTTTAAGAAAATTATTTATTTCTTTATTTAATCAACTTTTTTTCTTTCTTTTCTTTAATTCTATTTCTTTACTTCTAATTCTAATTAATTTTAACTCAACATCTCAAATTCTAACTCAAGACATTATTTACTTCAAATACTTCTTCTATTAATTCGTTTTACATTATCTTAAGGGGCACAACTAGTGTAATCGCCTAAAAAAATGTGATTTTTGGGAATTTATATTAAAAAAAAAAAATACTTTATCAATCATTTCAAAATTTCACGAATATATTTATACACCTAAGTCTGTTTTTACACGGTCTTTTTGTACACGGTTTTGATATAACACGGTTTGAAAATTGAATATTTTAATTTTTTTACACGATTTTATTCCATTTAGCACGATTTGAAATTTATGTACTTAAATTTTTTTGTCAAATTTAATTTTTGCGATGTATGTTCATATCACAAAAAAGTATTTATGAAAGAAAAAAGTCTGAACCATCGATAGTATCGATAGTTTGCAAACACTAGCATAAAGATTTAAGTAAATTCCCCTTTAGTGCGTACAAACAATTTTTACTGGTCAAAGCAAATGTGAATAGCACTAATTTAGGGGAATTATTATTAAAATAAACATGAATTCTTGTTCTTGAAAATTCTTGTTTTTCACTAATTTTAATAGGTTTTAGAGAGTAGGACAAATCACCCATTTTTGTATAAGTTCAATGTCTTTTTTACACGGCTTCTTCTGGAACCAATCTCCGTGTAAAACAGACTTATTTTTAGGTGTACATGTTTTAAGAATACATAGTAAAATTTTGAAGAAAAAATTAAATATTTTTTAAGGTATCGTCGATCTCCAACGGCGCGACAAAACTTGACAAAATGACGGAGTTTTTTTAAAAAAAGTCGAATTTTACCCAAAATTTTGATCGTTTTTGGACTGCCAAAATTCGATTTTTGATCCGATCAAAAAATCGATAGTTCATTTTACGGAGAACTATAAAAAGACTCAAAAACTATTTGAAATATCGATTTAAAATTTTGGTATGTCATTTTTAAAGTATAATCTATCGAAATATGGAAAAATTGAAAATTCAATTTTTGAAAATTTCACACTAGTTGTGCCCCTTAAATACTTTAGATATTAGTCAAGATTTGGGTGAGATTAAATTCTAATCCTCCCTTACCTCTTTGGTGTTTCCTTCAACAATTTCTCGAGTTTGGTAAGATAACTTGGCACATTGACAACGACGACTTCATTTTCTGTGACTTTTAGGCCTTCCGGTAAAAGGACATTGATGTAGTCCAACCATTGCACCAGAGGAAACTTCTCTTGCAATTCGGCGATTGTGTGAGGATTGTACAGGACTGTTGCGTTGCGCCTCTTTTCGGTCGGCAGAGAAATCTATTTAGTAAAAAATAATGTAAATTAGTGGTGTATGGTATCGTGCCTTAAGGCAAATTGCTGGAACTTCCCGTACCGTAATGAAATTTTCGAGAAATTTTAAACGTTTTCAAATATATTATTACAAATACTGTAATTGTTTCATTATTTTTGCTATCTTGTTATATCTGAGCAAAACAAATGTGAATCATAAATCAATTCAGTTTAATCTCCAGAACATTAACAATCGTCATTTCATTTCGAATTCAATTTCAAAAACAAAAAAATAGTTGCCTAATTTGCACAAAATTGAAAAAGTGCTCTCGTATAGTCGCAGTCCAATCGCATTTGCAAATAATTCTGTGCGACATTTTCACTTATACTGTGCTTAGCTTGGCGGCATTTGCACATTTTCATTAATAAACAGTCTAATAAGTATCGCACTTGAGTAAACATTTGTATTTTTAGATCATTCAAATCGGATGCTCCGTTCTCTCAAAAACTCGATTTCTATTTTCTGCACTCTTTGGTCCGTATCTCCGAAACGGCAGGACCTGCCTTTGCCAAAAACTAATCAGCTCTTTTCCCTATCAATAGGAATCGAATGTTTTCTGAACCATTTAAATCGGTTGATCCGTGCGCCCGAAAAATTGTATCCATACATACATACACACACACACGCACACATCCATTTTTTCTGAGGTATGCCAAAATATTCAGAAACCTTCAAAACATGGAGGAATGCAAAAATTTTCATTTTCGATTTTCGACCCATTACTATAACATACCCTACAGGAAGTTAAAAAAGAACCAATAAAGTGATATAATAAGTAACAATTGCCTGGTTTAACAATAAATGAATATAATGTGATGTTGACTGTTTATTTTATACTATTTATACATTCTTTTACAAATTTGAGAAGAATATTTTATCCTAGTTAACTTTTTTCCTAATATTTAAATTCAATTTAAGAAATGTTCATATTTCATTGATTATTATTACATTTTTGACTATAAATTGCCATGTTTTCAAATAATTCAATTGAGTAAATACCTTATTGAATACTTCATATTTTTAAGGAAGCTTTCTGCGATAAATCAACATGTGTCTTTGCAGAAGACTCAAATGTGTGAATTTATTATTACAAATAATGCATTCATCGAGATGAATTCAATTGTGAATTTGCTTGTGACGTTTGAGAATTCTTTTTTTCGAGAATGTCTTATTACAAACATTGCATCGATGAGGGCGTAATCCTTTGTGAAGGTTCATGTGTGCTTTCAGATTACCGAATTGTGTGAATGTCTTATTACAAACATTGCATTGATGAGGGCGTATTCCTTTGTGAAGGTTCATGTGTGTTTTCAGATTACTTGATTGTGTAAATGTCTTGTTGCATATACCGCATTCATACGGGCGCTCACCAATGTGAACAAGCATGTGCTTATTCAGACTACTTAGTTGTATAAATGTTTTATTGCACATATTACAAACGTGGGGGCGCTCACCAATATGAATGCTCATGTGTGTTTTCAGATTACTTGATTGTGTGAATGTTTTATTGCATATACTACAAATGTAGGGACGCTCACCAACGTGAATAATCATGTGCTTATTCAGATTACTTCTTTGGGTGAATGTCTTGTGGCATATACTGCATTCATGGGGGCGTTTTCCACTATGCAAAAGCATGTGAGTTTTCAGGTAACCTTTTTGTTTGATAGTCTTATGACAGATTTCGCATTTTAAAGGACGTTCTTTGCTATTACTAGGCTTGTGATCGACCATATGCTCTTTTAATTGATCAGATTCTGCAAATGATTGATCACAAATGTCACATTCATAAACTGATGCCTCGACTAACTCCTGTTTGACCTCTTCTTCGATTGTCACTTCAGAGTTCAGGAAATTTTCTAAACGGGTATCATCATCCTCAGAACACGATTCAGATTTAACAATATCATCAGAAACATCAATATCATCCTGAATTTCGTGTTTAATGTCTTCTTCTGAATATTCTAGCGGTTCAATTTTAATTGCCGAATCATTCATTGACATAATAGTTTCTTCTGACATTTTTAAATATTTCAACTGCTTATACTCACTTACGAAAGAATTGAAATAATTCCAAAATAGGCGTGGGCTAAATAATAAACTAGTTTAATCAATGATTTCAACTTAAATTAAATTTATAATTTGACATTTGGAGCATAGAGTATACTTACAGAAAGATGAGACACTTCTCATATCGCTTTCACATTTAACAATGGCGCGCATTTTCAAATTCATCATGTTTCTCTAAGTCTAAACTATTTTATTAAATAATATTACTATTATTAATTTTACAAACGTTTCGAGACTAGGTTTGTCTAATCATCGGTGTATTATAATTTGAAATTTTAAGACGATTTACATACGTTTTCCAGCAGCAGAAAAACAGAATTAAATACAAAAAATATAAATCAATAGGAAGTATACACATTTAACAACCCTAAGGGAAGTTAATGAATTTTATGAATATTAAATTAGTAGATTTAATAGCTCTCAGATTTATAATTTCTTTCCATGTCTTTCAATATTCAGTATTCAGAAAATCTATTTTTTTTACTCACATTGGCAAGATTCATTTCGAACTGCAGAGACTCCTTCAACTCCTTTTCGGCCCTGTCTCTGGGAGCTCCCAGCATGACTGCTAAATCCGTCATATATTCATAGTAGGCTATCACGATGCGATCCGAAAATCCTTTTACCAAATATTCACGACTCAATCCTAGGATCGCTTGGTCTAACTAAAAGGATAAAAGACACATAAATATTGTATCCACACCTATGAAAAAGATAAGACAGTAATCCTAAACTTATTGAAATTTAGCTCGTGTTTAACTTCCCACACAGTAGTGGGTATTTTTACTAAAATCAGTATTTTAATAACTTAAGCAAGCATTCTAGATAAGTTTCCACCAAGAATAATTCGAAATCCAAAATTAAATCCTATGGCTCTGAAGATTTAAATTAGAGTAAATTTGTGGAAATCGTTTTTGATAGAAACAAAATATCATGTCATGACATTTTTATAGTTTTAAAATCATAATTTTTAATACATGTTTTATAAAACATAGAAATATCTTTATACTTATTTATATATTTCTATAAATTTAAAAAAATATAAATTAGTAATCTGTCTTAATTTCTGTTAATTCTAGCTCGTAGCTATCCCAGCTCCTAAGAATTTTATGTACTTTTGTTTTTGTTTTGAAACAAACAATTTTATAGAAGACCCAAAGGTAGTTAAACGTCATCTTTCTACTTACATCTATAACTCTTTTGGTAGAATTTTTAAAATCCGTGGAAATCGAAAAATCAATAAAGTAATCCATGGAATATCCATTCTGTCTGAACTGCTTCACACTTTTATCCCAGGACCATTTGGATTCGTCCCAAGAAGGGCCATCCAAAACTGGCCAACCTCCCAGACGTTTGTGAGCCTCCAAAAGTGGAGTGTAACCTCTTTTCTCGATTAGAGCTAAAAAATAAATAAAGCATAATAAAATCATATATATATATATATATATATATATATATATATATATATATATATATATATATGATGATAGTTTTGTCGACGTTGATACATATTTGTGATATTTTTGCAGCCCAACCGTCGAATTAAAAACAGATTAAATAACAAAATTATTTATTCCATTAAACGTTTCGACACTTGATGTCATCATTTAGTGTCTAAAAACATATTACATAAATACAAAATGTGTCATCATTTAGTAATCTAAAAACATATTACATAAATACAAAATTGATGATAAATATAAATATATAAAAAGGAGAAAATTATACATACCAAACCAGGAAAAACAACAGAAAAAATTAATTATGATGTAAAATTGATTGAACACTAAATTTGTGTAAAATAATAATATACTATTATATTAACAAACGAGAAATTGAAGAAGCGCATATTGCCCTCTTATATTTTATGTTATTAATAGCGGTGCATTATGGACACTGATCAAGGTTACAAAGCGAGTGTAGTGAAGGAGTGGGAGCGGGTTGTGAGAAACGAAAGCGGAAAGAGAAACAGAGAAGAAATATAACGAACTAAAGATTCTAAAACTGTATATAATTACTTTTCATGAAATTAATGATTACTTTGTAACTGTCATGTAAGAGATGAGAGGAATTACGTTTGTTTACACAAGAAGTATTAAGGGATATAAGTAAAGACTCAACTATCTTTCTAAGGTCACAATTTTTTTCAATGTAAAGGATGGAAGGATTTGACATGTTAAAAGTGTGGTTTAGGTTTATCATATGTTCTGAAAGCATCGTTTTGAATTGATTTGGGTTTCTAGAATTATATATATATATATGTTGATTAATCCTCTTGTATATAAATATATTGTATATATTTTATAACTTACATTTATTCATGCAGCTTTTGTACAAATCTTTGGCAACCGTAAATGGCTCCGGTTCGTTTTCTCTGTCAATAGGAGACTCCACGATACCTCTAAGTTGCAACTGCAACTTGTCACCGATTACTGAGAATGTATTCACCGATACCTACATAAAAAAAACAAACCAATAATTAACATTATTACAATAATTAATAAATTAATAAATCCTTTACCTTGTCGTCTGGTATAACAGTGTCTTTCAAAAATGAACCGCAAGCGAATCTGTAGAAGTCGTCGCACGGTTCGATGTTTCTGTCCATGGCTTGGATAATACGATTTGCTAAAAAAATAATGAAAAATAGTATAAAATTCTTGTTTTTGCAAATATGGTTTATTATAATTTACCTGCTTTGATACAACCAGGTGTCATGCAAACATCTGGAGTTTCATCGTACTTGGTTTTGGTGGAGCATAAAGTTTTTTCCTTTAAATTTCCTTCTGGAGGGAATCCGTCGCCGACGGACGCCGCTGCCATTGGCATTGGCTCACCTGAAAGGGTAAACGATAATTATATATATATATATATATATATATATATATATATATATATATGTATGAATATATATATATATATTGTATGATTCTGAATTTGATGTTGACGGGCATAACATCATTAAAAAACATGAATTTCTTTCAAAAATTTATTTTAAATCCATAAGTTTTGGCTATAATCCTAGCCTTCATTCAGTGGAAACTAAAAATAAAACTACAAACTAAAACAATTGAATTGGAGTGAAAAGAAAAATAAAATAGTAAATAGCACTTACAATTAGTTAATCTTAGTGTTAAATTGGAAGATTTTAATCCATGGTATCAGGATAAGGTAATGCACTACACTATGTATTATAAACATTAAACTTGAAATTACACAATATTTTCACAAAATACTAATTTAAAAAATAACAAATAGATAGTGTGTTGTTTGTAGACTGGTTGAAGATATAATGGGGAAAGGACTTTTTAAAAAATATTTTTTACCAAGATTCTACACATGTGTGGAACGAATTGCGAATCCTTTGCGCGTCGTTCTTATTGTTTTGTGAGAAATTTGGAAATACTATCTAAATAAAAGAGATTTGTGTCGCACAGCTTGTTAAGTTCATTCCGTTTATTTATTGTTGTATTGCTGTAAATAGTTAAAAAATATCCTTCTATAATTCTTCGTTTGAATAAGTTTTGTTCGAATTGTAGTACAGTCGGGTTAGAAAAGTCCATATTGTGTTTTAAAGTATAAATATACCCCGCAATCATAGTTTTAAACTGTCTCGGATTTTTTGAATTGTTTTTATGTTGTTGTAAATGTTTCATTAAGTTCTGGCTTGATTCTCCTATGTAAATTAAATTACAATCAAGACAATTTATTTGATAGACGAGATTTATAAGACGTTCGATACTAAAAGGGGTTTTTGTTTTGGTAAAGATAGTACTAGTCGTTGTACTGAAATTGTTTACAAGTCGGAGTCCAGATTTATAAAAAAACTTTTTCCAAGGAACATACAATTCTTTAATGTATGGCAAACATATTACACCAGAATGAGTTTCTGAGTCAGGTAAATCGTTATATACTGTGGAATTGTCCATTTTATTCAAAAGGTATACGTATGTTCGTCTGATACTGGTTACGGAGTTTATAAGTTTTAAGGGATAGGAGTTATCTGCTGGAATTTTCGTAATTAAATTGATGTTGTAGTGCCAAAATGTTTTGTCTGATAGAAGTATTGCGTGGTCAGTTAGAACAGTCAATTTAACACTAATTGTAAAATTAACTAATTGTAAGTACTATTTACTCTTTCTATTTTTTCTTTTCACTCCAATTCAAATGTTTTAGTTTTTAATTTTATTTTTAGTTTCCACTGAATGAAGGCTAGGATTATAGCCGAAACGTATGGATTTAAAATAAATTTTTGAAAGTAATTTATGTTTTTTATTATGTTATGCCCGATTACTAGACTTTGTTAATATATATATATATATATATATATATATGTATATATATTATTCAATTTAATTACCAGCAGGTGCGTGTCTTGTCTTTCCATCTAGCAGGATGACGCATAGCGACGTGACCAGGGCTAGTACCGCCAACACGCCGCAAGCTGTCGTTAGCGTCAGCACGCGCTCCAGGCCGGTTCTTCTTCGCCACCATGACGGATTACTGAAAAAAGAAAGGATTATTATTATTATTATCAATGATAATTAGATACTTAAATCGAAATTGATAACATAGCAGACAACGGTGTGTCCCACTTCCCAAAGTAGGAGTTTGAAAAAAGTATGTTTTTTGTGTTTTTTATAATTAACAGAAAATGTAATTTTTTTTTTACCCTATAATTATGTGTCTCCCAGTACTGAGCTAGTAGATATGATTATGATAATTTAATTGGGGGCTCAATTTCGACCTGATCCCGTGTCAGAAGTCTCCGAGGCTTTGACAGAAGATTTGCGGTGATTTTTCTGCCTCGTCACGTGCGAACGTCACACGTGACGGAACACAATAATAATTGTCTGAACTTTGACAGCGATTAAACTCATTGTCATAATTATTGTTATGTAAAATCATTTGTATACATGCATGTAGATATATACATATGTAAGTATATTTTGTGCATAAAAAAATATTTTTAGCACCGCAGACGTTTTCAATTGCAAAAAGGTTAAAGCATCCATTTTTTGTTGCCGAATGAACAAAAATACTTTTTTATGATCACTGTGTTTCCGTAAACAATACAATACGATTGATAAAAAAGAATAATACTTATCAACTATATTTGTTAAATAAATATTGATATTAACGTCCCGTAGGGCAAGTTATAGTAATCGCAAAAAAATTGAAAATGAAAATTTTTACATATCTTTACGTTTCAAAGGTTTCTGAACATTTTGGCATACCTTAGAAAAAATGGATGTATGTGTGCGTGTGCGTGTGTGTATGTGCGTGTATGTGTGTGTGTTCGGATACAAATTTTCGTCGACGATTTAGGGAACACGGATGAAGCGATTTGAATAATTCAAAAAACATCCGTATTGATAAGAAGACAAGCTAATTAGTTTTTGGCAAAGACAGATCCAGCCATTTCGTAGATACGGGGCAAAAAGTGCCAAAAACGGTAACTCAGTTTTTAAGAGAACGTCCGATTTGAATAATTCAAAAAACATTTTATTTGTATTAACTTAGTTCAAATTTTTGGAAAGGCAGGTGCAACGACTCCGGAGATATAGAGAAAAAAGTAAAAAAATGGGCCATTTGGCAGTCAAAAATAAACATTAGACATATGCACATCAAGTTATCAGATATTTTATAGAGATTTTAACAATAAGTATAAATTTTGTTTACATTTCTATGGGTTCCGTACCAATGTTCACGCGTTAGACGGCGACGCGGCGCTTACGCGCTTTAATATTTCGTCTTTATGCAGTTAAAGCAGTACGATTGCTTTGAAAAAAAGTTCAAAATTTCCAAAATATTTCAAAATAAATGATTTAATATAGAATGATTTAATATGGTTCGAAATTCTATTAAAAGTTTCAAATCATTGATCAACTTTTATTGATTATTATTATTGATTATTTTTAATTACTCGAATTTTGAATTGCGGTACGGGAAGTACGATGCCTTAATTGCCTTAAGACAGAATTCCCATCGACAGAATCGTCCATCATTTGCAATTATTTAAATCACCTGAAACCCATTTTCTTGGCATTTTTTCCCAGTAAAGATTCCTTCCAGTTTTCTTTTCATTTTATTTTCATCTTTTCTTGTATTTTATATTTAATAGGGTAATTCTGCCGTAACAAAGCTCATAAAATAGGGTTATCATGGCAACACAATCTTAAGCTTGTTCTTGGTGCAGCATCTTATTCTACATGGTGCAGTTATCATAACATTATTGTTTGCTTGTTTATATGTTAAATACGCCTGATCGCATATCAAATAGATAGACATTTTCATAATTTTCAATACCAAGAACAAGCATAAGAGAGCGTTGCCATGACAACGCTATTTTATGAGCTCTGTTACGGCAGAATTGCCCTATAAGTTTATTTCTTTATCGTGCATCCATGTCTCTGATCCATCCTTCATCAGTTTACTCCGAGACAACTCGAGACCCTACATTTCATCTGCTATGTTACCAATTTCAATTGTGTTCCTTTATTATTTATTTCTTTTATTATTTTTATATTTAAAACCAGTTACATTTATGTTACGTTGCAGTTACGCAACTTTTACATGCAAATGCAAACACTTGAATAATTTATTCGTTCGTTCTTCTTTGTTTAACAATATATATTTAAAATTTTCCAAGAAATCAATCTAATCTTCGAAGCAATTTTGAATATATAAATAACGAGCACAAAAACAAAAATGCATAAAAATACACATAAAATTACCATCGTTATCATTATCGTGCTTGCAATTTTGCAATTTTATATTTATAGGCTAGGTTATTTTTAAATATATGCATTTATGTTAAAAATCGTACCATTTGATAAGAGTAATTGTTGCAATTTGCATAAAACAATAATTGAAATTCATAAAACAATTTGAATAAAGCAAAATGATATTGTAATCATACTTTTATTTCAAACAAAACATGTTTGTAAAATAGCCGCTTATCAAAATTTAATATTTAACATTTTGCCTTATTACAAATTAAAAAGGAATTACACTGTTATTGTTATAGTTTTTGGCATAGTTTAAATTCGTAATTAAATGTTATGAATGCAAATGTTAATTTTAATTCATAATTAACTTGAGAAAGTAATATCTCTTGTAAATTCTCTAAAAAGTCGCATTTTCTAATTTTTGAAATTTTTCTCAATTATTTTCAATTTCTAGATGTTTTTCATATTTTTAAAGAAAGTATTGGAAATAAAAACTTTGCCAAAAATTTGAGACAGACAAAAAAATTGATAGCCATGTTAATTTTATCTTTTCTTTCCAACTATTTTTAATTATCGATGAATCTATTTAATTTTTATTTTTTATTCATTTATTTATTTAGTGAATGTAGTGAGTTCCAATGAACGATTGACCTGAATAAAAATGTGAATGAGAAATTTCGTTTTGGTATTCAAGACGACGTTTTAGAAACTGTTATTTTGTTTAGTGTATTTGACAAACACAAATAAAACTCAATGCATACATATTGAATTGATTGAACGATGAAAGAATTTATAAATATTTGTATATATATACATATATATATATATATATATATACAAATATATAATATATATATATATATATATATATATATATATAAATCTTAAGCACAATGTTTAAATAAATTCAAATATATCTATACAAATATTAAACCGTTAACAAAATTATATGTACTTAACAATTTATTATTAATAAATAAGTAAAATGTCTACGCCAATAAGAAAAAATAACATCACTAAAGTTGCACGTGGTTGGTACGTAACCTGTACGACACAAACATTTTGCTCGGTTTACGTTACGGTTTCGTTTTAGCTACGTTTCAATATTACTAAGTAAAATTATGGATGTACCTTTGGTGTAACTAAAAATTATAATGTAATATCTTATATGCAGAAAATATTTCTATAAACATATAAAGTGTAATAAAGTGTGTTTAATGATTTGTTAAATAATTATGATAAATAAGAAATCATTGAAGAACGTGAATTTTTATACAACTAGTACTTTTATGGGCTTGAACACTAAATATGTCGAAAGTTGTCATGAAAACTTTATATTAATTTACAGTTTTGTTGGAAATTTATGAAACACGTGCAAAGTATTTGTTACGTAACAAACAAAACTTAAAAATTAGTTGACAATTGGTTAATGGGTCATTATTCGTAGTCTCTAATTATTATAATATTACTATTTGAAGTATAATATTATACTCATATAATTCTTTATAACGAATTATTGCAGAATGATTAATTTTATATATAATATTATTTTTTATTTAGTATAAATTCCTTCAGATAATATAAAAGAAAAATAAATTATGTTTATAAAAAATAATTATATATTTTCATACGTTTCGAATACCAATGCCACCTTCCTTCATTATATGTATAAATGCTAATTTAAAATAATAATAAATTATATATTCAAATGCTTCCAAATTGATAAAAAAAATTCTAAAAGTTTTAGCTCTTAATATCGTCTTTTAGATAGCGTGCACTTCAATCAAAGTTTTGTATGGAAATAGCATGGAAAAATTTTCAAAAATTTTAAAATGTTTTTTAAATATAACTTAGCGAGCAAATGAATGAGTTTTATTTTACAAAACAAATTATAACAAACCCGTTTTGTAGAGCGTCCAATTTTGAATAAAACTCATTCATTTGTTCGCTAAGTTATACTTAAAAAAACATTTTTAAAATTTTCGAAATTTTTTCCGCTTCCTTCTTTCTGCTATTTCCATACGAAGCTTTGATTGAATTGCGCACGATCTAAAACTTAAGATTAAGATCTAAAACTTTTAAAGATTTTTTTTTATCAATTTGGAAAGCATTTAAGCCCCTGGGAACAATAAAATTCGAAAATGTCTATATTAAAGACCACCCTAAATGTATATATACATATATATATACTAAATTTTGTCCCCATATCTTACTATTATTTGTCATTACTAATAAAACAGTTTTTTCCCAAATTTCCATGATTCAATCTATTCCTTCCAACATCCGTTGTCTTTTAATTAAAATTCAAACGATTTCGTTTCAGTTTAAATAATTATGTGTAAAACACATAATGTTGACGCAAATTACATATTCGAAATTCCCACAAAAACCACAAAAATTGAATCATAACAAAAACAAGGCATATTTATATTAAAGGTGTTAAAGGTTAGAAAAAATAAGTTATTCATATAAATTGCGACGAAACTTAATGATAAAAAAAACTTGTTATCCTTATCAGATATTTTAAATTTTTTTATGTAAAATTGTATCCGAAAAAACATACACAAATACATCAGTTTAAGTTTTTTAGGTATTCTAAAACGAGCAGAATTATTTAAATATATTTATAATTATTTATATACATTCATTTATACAAAATGCTATACATAAAATATGTATATGTATAAATAAACGAGAATAAATAGATATTAATCCCGGCCGCTTTGACATTACATCAATTTTAATTCTTTCAGCATATCATAGATGTCGCTA